TTAAGAATTGTTTCCGAGACAAGCTTATTCACATTGTATACTGGGGGTGCAAGGTAGTACTATGATTCTTTCTGAGAAAAACCAAAATTTCCTTTCAGAGGAAAAAAAATAAGGTTTCTATAAAAATTCTAAAACCAGACTCTGGTTGGCACCCTATTGAGAGAATTTTCTTTGAATGACCTATGATTCAAAACATTAATTCAGCATATTTCAATTTTCTCTGCTCTGGGTGGTGCATTAATTTCCTCTCATTGACTTCCAAGGCGTTCTGTGCGTGGACAAGCTATCCAGGGGATGGAATTAAACTTGACCCAGCAGGCACTCAGCATATTGTGTCATGGTTCTCTTCACTGTTTGCATAGCCCAGAATTCTTTTTGGCAAGAAAGCATTTGTTTATTAAATTTCCCTTAAAATGCCCATGGGTTTAAATTGAGGAGGACCTCATTTAGAGAAAAAGCATGCAGCAGGTTCTCATAACACAAAGCATTTGAGAAAATAGTCAGAAAGATTTTATCCATCCACTTACTTCTCTCATTCAGAGCAATGTTACTTCCAGCTTGGAACATGAGCAAGTCTTTTTTTTGTTTTTGTTTTTTTAAGGTTCTCTTCCAATGGGTATCCACTAAAAATTATTCTACATGCTTGTAATGTGATGACAAACCCAACTTTTTCACTGCCTTGAAGACTTTCCTCTTTATTCCTCTTGAAATTGACTCTGCTGGTTCAGATAACAATACAAAATCTGATTTAATAGTCATATATTGATGAATGAAAGTTAAAAGTTAGATTCTCCTGGGTTTCATAGTTTTCTCCCAGCTCCAGAAGGAACTATTATTAGGGAATCAGTGAGCATTATTTCTCTAAATATATGATTCAGTATTTTGCCCTCCAGTGTAGGATGTGTTATCAGTAGGACACAAGACATGAAAACCTGATTTGGCCAGTGGATACTAATTTAGGAGCAAAGCAAAAGTAAAACATGTATTTTCCCATGTGGTTCTTGACTAGACAGCAGATGCGGAGCTTTACTTGATCGTGTGTTTTTAGGGTAGCTCACCTCCATTTTATCTTCATCCTGCACGTGGACATCGACCTCCAGATACACAGCCAGCGTGGGATGGCGTCAGTTAAGAAAGTATTAGCATCGTTCATTATGTGCAAATTTCAAGCTTATCTCTCTTCACTAGATTTCTATTCATAGATGGTTATCTAGATGTCAAGATCTGTATGCAAATGAATGAAGGAAATATATCCACTGTGGTACCATTTTCTTAAGAAAGCCTTCATAAAAGTTAAGAAGATAGAATTCCAAGGAATCATTCCTTTGGCTTGGTTGGAGTGCTCAAGGTTCTGATGTTTTGTTTTTGTTTTCTTAATTCATAGCATTATTGATTTTTTTTTTTGGTGGGGGAGGGAGGCAATTTGGTTTATTTATTATTATTATTATTATTACTACTACTATTGTTTTTAATGGAGGTACTGGGCATTGAACCCAGGACCTCATGCATGTTAAGCACTGCACTCTACTGAGCTATACCCTCCCCCACATCATTGATTTTAGAAAAAATTCCTAGGCACTAAGAGAAAAGGGGCCAAAAGATTTACTCAAGTCACCTGCTGGGAACCTTGTGCTCCTCTGCAGGAGTTAACACTCACAATGACAGTAGCTGCCTGGTGGTAGGAGCCTATGAGAAGGGCCCTGTCTTGTTCTCCAGGCCAACACAGAAATAGATCATGTCCCCACTTGGCCCTGAAGAAGCTGTCCATTTACTAAGTTCAGACCTGTTTCGGAAGGGAAAGCAGGTTAATATTCTAGGAGTTTGTAACCTACTTCCCACACCCTCAGTCTCCCTCTCTGCCTTACGGGGCATCCTGCCCTTGGAGTCGTAGGGATCCTGCCAGGCACGTGATGCTACACACTTGAACACGGGAGCCCACTGAACAGCAAGGCTTCAGGGAACAGGAAACTGCTGCAGCTTCACAATAGACACGAAAAACAGTATCTTTAGGTTCACTCTTCTCTGTATCTTCATTAGGGGATCTAAAATATGACTCTCCTTCAGTTCCAGTTTAAAGGTTTATCATTACTACATCATTGCTTTGTAGGTATAAGAAGGAAGAAATCTCGTGGATTCATGTCTCTTCATCCCTCAAATAAGAATAATTAAAAAAGAAAGAAAGAAAGAAAGAAAGAAAAACTTCCCAAAGCATTCTTAAAATATTGAAGAAATTTATAACAGAATGAGCAGTACAATAATCACTTTATTGAGACTGTCTACAGTGTTAAGAATTTGCTTTTAATTTTGGTAAGCCTAGATTCCTGATTCATAGAAACTATGAGATAATAAATGCGCTTTGTTTTAAGCTGCTAAGTTTGTAATGATATTGTTACAAAGCATATGCAATTAATAGAAAGGATGTATTCAAAGAGAGGAAGGTCAAACCGGAGGTGAGGACAAGCACAGGGAGTTATTGCAGGAGGAGGTGAAGGAGGTGGCAAGAAGGAAGGGGTCAGTGGACATGGGAACAATTTGAAGAGACAGGTTGTGTGGTCTGTTCACAAGGACCAACAAGTTACCTCTGCACCGAACTTCAGACTTTAAAGAAACAGCAGATGCCGAGAACACTTAGTAGTGCACAAAGAGAAAAGACATGGTCTCAGCATGTCAATGAGAAGACGAGCACAGTACTGAGACATTTGTGTTTAGGATAAACAACCATCACAGCCCAGCTCTTCTGAAAGCACCACAGTGAACTGATGGAGCTTGGTCTTTGGATGCGTCTGGCTTTGTACCAGAGCCGTGTGATGGACTAGCTAAGCGGTCTTGGGAAATTTTCTTCACCTCACTGAGTTTTTGTTTCTTGTACGTAAAATGTATTTGTTTCATTGTAGGGTTGCTACAATGATGATGTGGGATGACAGATGCAAAACACTTATTGCTGCACATGGCATAAAGTAAGGGCTCAAATATAGTGCTTTCTTGTGCACAGAAGAAACTTCTGTCCCACAAAAATAATTGATCAAATGGATTCAAAGACTAGAGGGAAACGTCACACAGGCAATCAAAGTGAGAAAGTTCTTAGAAGAATCTGTACAAAATATAAAAATAGCCATTCATCTATCTGAACAGAAGAGTTCAAAAGGAATGGAGAAATCCACTCTGTTCCAGCAGAGATGAAGAAAGAGGAAAATTCTAGTTTCAGAAGAAATGAGATAAGGCTGAATTACAAACTCAGAGGATGTAACACTGAATTTCAGAAGTATGATCTCATTTACCCGCCCAGGGAGATATTAAATCAATATTCCTATTTCACAAGATCAATACATGTCTGAAAGTTTCTTTTCCTAGCTGTGAGTGAAGACTTTCCTTTAGGACTACCATCATGTGTAGTGTTGGCCTTTGGGTTGGTCTCACAAGCAGAGCCCCTCACATTTTCAGGAAGAAAATAACACTATTTTTTCTTATTAATCACGTTAAGTCGTTCTTTAAAAGCAATAAAAAATGCATGTGTGGTGATTATAACAGGATTCTTTTTCAAGGGAAAATAAAGTCTGGCTCAATATGCTTTGGATTCAGGCTCCCAAAAATAAACCCACAATTCTCCAATCTCTCTACCAAAAAGGAAAAAAAACCCATCTGTTTTAAAGGATATGGAATCCTGACATTTGGGTTAATTTATACTCATAATTATCCAAATATATTTCAAGAACTAGTTGATATTTGAGAGTATATTTTTCAGATATTTTAAATAGAAAAACCATATTTTATTTAAAGCAAACAAACCAAAACAGCAAAAGATGGAGTCTTGTGGAACCTATGGTCTTATGAAATACAAATAGATTTTAAAGTCAGAAACCTTTCTCTTCTATCCAACATTTATTCTAAATTTATACATGTAAAAATATCTGAAACGTCTATAAATGCCCAGGTGTTTACAACTATTAATAAATGAAAATGTTTGCAGAATTTCATGCCCTTGGGTAAGACATAAAATTTAGATGTATTTCTAATAAAGAACTGAAGAATTTCTTTACAAGTAAACCACCCATTTTGAAAATAATAATACATGGAATTCATGGACTTTTGAATAAGCCAGAATTTGTGGTCTCAAGCCACACCACACAAACAATTTTTTAACTATATCACATTCCATCAAATCAGATATATTGTTGCTTTAGATGTAATGATTTCTTTGGTCCTAAAATTTAAATGCTAAGTTTTTGTTTTAATCTGTCAGAATATTCTTTCACAAATATCTGTCCCTTTCCAGACCAAATAATCATAAGACTACTGCACGTTCACATTTTATACCACACAATAAAGGTTTCAGGAATGTAACATTTTCTCCAGGACAATTATTTATAAGATAAATAATGTTAAATGCTTATTTGAAAAACTTTAAATCATCAGATATTGTGATTTTATCTAACTAGACTCATATTGTACTTATTTCTCACATTTTCCAAGTAATATTTGCAGACTGTCAAACTGCCAAAATTGTACATAGCTTAGTATCTTTGAAGATTAATTCTGCATCTTAATTGAGGTAGCCTATTTTGAACAAATGTCTTCGTATTTTTACATTACTCTTGAATTAAGCACATTCAGAAATAGAGCATATTTTCATTCACTCATTGGTAAACATTCATTTGCATATGTTACTTTGGTGGCTTAGTTGCCAAACATTTAGCTAAATGATAAATAGGTACTCACTGAGGAATTAAACTTTCTTACAGGGTGGTCCTGATATGAAGCAAAGCCAGAAAATTAATGCTTAGTTTCCAAAACACCTAATGAACACAAAAGTAATTAATCCTATAGCTGTGCGGGCTTTCAATTCTCTGAATTTATAATGTCTTCCATATTTTATTAACTGTTTACATAGTTAAGGTCTTATACTTTCTCACATCATTTATGGAGGGTTGAGATACAAATGAGTTAATTTACTTAATGAAATCGTTAATTGCTGAACCATCTCCGTTGTGATCGTTCTGTTTATGAGGTAATTTCATGATGTAGACTGTTTTCCATTATTTTATAATTAAGGATCATTTCTGCACACCCTCTGGTCCCATTAGCTCACCCTTCCAACTCCATCGATGGAAAATGTATTAGCAAATTACAACACTGCAGTTGATTCAGGTATTATAAGAAACTGACATATCCTAAAGAAAAAAACCTAGCATGGACTATAAAAATAACAGTTTAAGTCACTACCATAAAATAAGGCTATTTTTTAAAATAAATTTGAATTGACAAGACTCAATTTCATGAGACACAACTCCCAGCCATCATGAGACATCTCCATGAGTGACTCCTGCTGCAGACACCCAAGGGATCTCCATCCCAGTTCAGTCCCTCTCACTGACACCAACTCCAATCATTGTGCAGAGAGCAAACAGATGTCAGGGATGTTCAACGGTGCATCAACAGAGTCTTGGAGACTCAAGGACACACATGAGATGCAGAGCTGGCTGCACAAAAGAGGCTGGTGATAGCGGCAGGCCATAACCCCAGCAAATGTGGCTGGCACAGTGACTGATGCAGATAGAAGCCCTCTGATTCAGACATGATTCCGTCATTTCATTTATGACTCAGACACGATTAAGGACCAATTGCAGATATTTAGTAAAGGCCAAATGTCCATAAGGAAACTCATGTAAATGCCACGTGCTAATTGACACTGCTGCATTTAGGGAATAAAATTTTACTCAGTTGAACTGCATAAGTAAATATAAAGTGTAAAGTAGAAGCAATAAGGTATAATTAAGACATAGTCTTTAAAAGTTGTTTTATAATTAATTATATCTAGCAAAATAATTATAACGAATTATAAACAAATTAAATATAAATAGAATAGAATTCAAATTAGTTCTTAAATTACAGCTTGACTTCATATAAGTTAATGAATTAAACAATAGTTATTTACATCTGCCTAATAACTTTAAGAGAAAACTCCATGGGAAGGCAGCTTGAAATGGCAACACAACCTGGGCAAACAATATACTTTTGGGGAGCAAATTTATAATCAATATATTTTAAAATATAGCTTTGCTCACCACACACCATCCCCCCCACCAAAAAAAAAATAGGTCAAAAAAGTTAACTGTGAGGTGATGAATGTGTTAATTAACTTGATTGTTGTTATCATTTCAGTGTACACATATACCAAACTACCACATTGTACTCCTTACTACATATAGAACTTTTGTTAATTTTAC